TACTCTATATTCTTCCACATATATGGCTGACATGAAAGCGTAAGGCATGGCCCAGAAATATGCATCCTGCAGTGAAAATGTAAGGCATGGCCCACAAATATGCATCTTGCATACCTAACAAGGTTACAATTTTCATACTTTCCTTTTGTTCTCTTCAGAATGACATCCTACTCTCTCTTCTCTGTTCTGGCGAATCAGTATAAAGCATGTGTAATACACTAATATAGAGAATGGAACTAAATCCAATGCGTACACTGTTCATTTGTGCTCTTGCATTACTCTCATTCTGCAATTGCATTAACAATTGTCTGAGCTTTGGAATAAACAGCATACTTGAGGGTGTGATTTTAGCGCAAATTTGAGCAAGCAGATTATTGGTGATGTCTGAGAAACAATGCCCCCCCTCCCCGAATTAACTTCATGCACAGTAAATTAAGAATAGCAACTCTTCAACTGCCCATAGTGCTACTAACATACCTTTTACCTTGCATATGCACTGTATATTGGACTGTACTATCAACATGAGCCATTCCAATAACATGGGTATTTCAAATGAAATATGTGGGTGCAGCAAGACAAGCAAGTGGTTTTCCTCATGCCAAACTCATCTCCATCCATAACATAAGGACTTATTCAGTAGGCAGTTCTCTCTGGATGCTCCAACAACTCTGAGTGGGATACAGAAGTAGATGTAATGGGAGAAAATCTTCTGAAGTACAGAGACTGTACTCATGAGGAATTGGTTGTACACCATGCCAGCAGTAGTACAGAAGTGCATTGTTGAAGAATTAAGGACAATATGTGCTGCGTTCATGGCTGAAAAAATGCCAGTAAGCTTCATCTGTCAAACAAGTAGATAAACATGGGGAATGATGAGCTCAGAGCTACTTAGAAAATGGGTTGTTTTTCAAGGAACACATTAGTAACAATAGCTCTGATTGGGAGCTGGAAAATGCACCTTATTGAGGTGATGGATGTAATGCTGCCAGCTGAGGTACTCCTTAATAAGGAAGAATCCTAAAAATGGGATATATCAGTGCATTCCCTAGTTTACTGTAAGTACATGATAATTCACAACTTAAATCTGCATTTCTATGTTGATGGGTTCCAACCCAACTGCCTCAAAGAAAAGAAGCTGTTTACTTCAAGCTTGGAAATCTGGACAACAAAGACAACTCCAAGCTACAGAACATTTATCTGTCCAAAACAGGGCCACAAAGTGTTCCTTGAATGATGCTATAGAAGAAGTACTTTTGTTACAGAGATTTGTGAGCATGAAAAAACTTTAAAAGATTTAAAGAATGTTCAGACAGTGTAAAGCTTCTATCTGCAATTTCTACCTAGAACCTTTACATTATGTGGAGAGCGTTTCAAGCAAGACTTCTTTTTGAATGACCAATCAACCATGGCTCATTTACATTTAACTATGACTATAACTAGAACTATAACTTTTTGTACATAAAAGCACACAAACGTCATGTTTCTAAAACAAGATGTGTGCACAGTGTGATTGACCATGTGAGAAAACACATTATTGTCTGTGCAGTCTATACAAAAAAGATACCAGTGTTTATGCGGATGTAGGGCAAATGTGAGGTGCCAATTTTGTTCAGCTATTTCCTCCATCCTATTTTGACAGCCAGCACCACTCATACATTGCCAATGACATATATTACACCTAGGTGGAAGATATCCATCCCACTTAAAAAATTCATTTTTTTCAGTTCCCCTTCTCTATTAATGGTATCAACTGGTAAATGGCTTTCTTCAATGCACAATAGTTTTAATTATTGTTTATATCTTTCTGTGATCTTGCAGAACAGACTGTCAAACTGACAGATAGACATTACTAGGTCTAGATGGTAAAGCAGTTGGTGCCAATAATCAGACACAGGATTAAATTCAACCAAATCACTGACCATGCTAAAATCATGGAAAGAGGCGAATAACCCAACAGTTTAAGAAAAGCATTCCTCGTGATCACAAGGATTTAAGGTATTTCACCCTCCACTGTGCATAAAAGTAAAAGATTCAGAAAATCTGGAGAAACTGCATAAAGCGTAAGACTGGAACCACAATGGTGGTGCTCATCACTTTTGACCCCTCAGACAGCACTGCAACACTGCATGCTTATGTGATGGATATCACCACATGGGCTCGGCAACACGTTGACAAACCATTGTATACTATTCGTTGATGCATCCAGAAATATTAAGACTTAGCTCTGCTTAGCAGAGGCTAAACATCAACAAAAGTCAAGAAACACCACCACCTTCTCCGGAAATGACAAATCCAAATAGTTTCCAGCACATCTATAAAAGTGTGTAAAAGTATATATATATATATATACATATACATATATATATATATATACATACATACATATATATATATATATACACACACACACACACACACACACACATATATTGTGTGTAAATTTCATGATGAATGGACCAACAGAAAAATCTGATTCCATTGACTTACATTAAAAGTAAAGTAAGCTTTTTGCTTCTCCTGTAAAGTTACCATTTTGGAGATACAAGGTTTTGTTCCGACAGAAGTAAACGCTACCTTCTAGAGACTCTTCAGAGATGTCCATGCTTATTTCAACAAGTCAAGCCACATTCTACACATGTAAGAACAGCATGGCTGTGTAATCAGAAAGTGTGACTGCAAACATGTCTTCCATTAAAACATGAGATGAATTGTGAGGCGTAAAATAAGATAACGGAGGTCCAGTGGTGGTTCTACTGCTTTCAATTTAGTACAGGTCAAATAGAATTTACTTATCTTTGCCTTCTGCTAATTAGCATTTCAGACTGTCTTCACTTTTTTGATTCTACTTCGTAGGTTTCTCTACAATGAACCATTTCACATCATCACACCAATTTAAATGAATTTGTTCACATCTCCATGATTTAATTATGCAGAAATATTGAAAAATCTGTCAACCTGTAAGGAGTTCCTGAAGGTTACAAAAGAGTTACAAAAGTCTGCCTAAGAGCCTTAAACCCACACTGTTTGGTGCTTTTCCTGCTCAAATACACTAGCTGAACCTGACAATTAACTGGTGAGTTTTAATCAAGTGTGTCTGAACAGTCAAATTAACAAACTGCAGGAATCCTGCCCTTCAGGGAATTAACTGAGACAATGTGAATTTGGAAACATTTTTTTTATCTTTACCAAAGGTGCCAGTAATTTTAGAGGTGACTGTATTTGTATTTGGGATACTTAGGATAATATCTTTGCACACATAATGCTGTTTTCATAGTCTAGATAGTATTCTTCACATTATTAAGCTGTGAGGTGGTGTACTGATTTGAGAGAGCTGGTGTGGACTGTAAATCATTAATCTGATATAATTAAACATTTAGTTTCTGTGAACATTTACTTTCTATAATGCAACATTCCGTTTCTGACACCTCATGAATCTATTCATTTAGATGCATTTAAAAGGATAAACGAGGAAAAAGTGATATTCTTAGGAACCAAAGTTATGTTAAAGGGCCCATATCATGGAAAAACGGATTTCTTACATTTTTTAGATGTAGATGTATGTAAACATTGTAGAGTTTCAAGATGTACCTTACAGTCCCCAGTCTGTATGGTCCACATATGGAAAATACTCAGCAAAAAACAGCCTGTTTTAAACTGTTTGTGTAATGTCACAAATATTTCTGCCTATTCAGCATACAGCAGTTTAACTCCGCCCTTTAAAGTTATAAGGTGTGTTTCAGCATGGACTGCATTTTCAATATATAGGGCAGCCAATCAGAACAGAGGTCATTTACATGAATAGAGCATCTACATGAATTAAAGTAACAAACTGTTTAATTCTAAGGTATAACGAGAGATATAGTCTTGTCAAGAAATATGTTTTTGATAAAACCACATAGGTTTTTAATGCATGTTATATACAAATATGAACAATCATCTCTAAATTCCATATGTGTAAATAAGCTGTTTAGGGCAGGGCGCCCTAACTTTTTGTCTCAGGGGATAAACTGCAGTGTTTGTGGTGACAAAGCAATATACGTAAACATACACGTAAAAAGCCAGGAGGTAGGTTTCAAATCCACACAAATTTAGCTAATAAAAGACTTAAAAAAAAATAAATAAATTTAAGGGAAAATAAGATTTTAATAAGATGTTAGGGTTCACTTTTGTAACCTTGCTCCATCTCCTTTTCTAGTCTCCTTTCTGTAGACCCCAACTTCCCCAATCCTTAATTAAGCCCCTTTCTCCCATGCTTAGACCTGTGCTTATTTGATGGCCACCTACTGGGTGCTTTTTTTTCTGAATGCTGGAGCTCAACTGGATTTAATGTAATCCCACTCAGGCAACAGATGGACTGATAGCATTGCTCCCCTTAATACAAACCACGTCTACCTCAGGACTCAGGAGCTTCATTTACACCGGAGCACACAGCCCCTCCCAAAGCTCTAACTACATTACAGCTCCTCTCCTCCATAGCGAGCAGCACAACTTGTGTGGTCGTGCAGGAGTTCACTTACTACAGTACTGTACAGAACTCCACTGTACTATAGCACAGCCCACTAAACGACACTGTAGATCGTGTTTATTCAGACGCCAGCCATTTTCTCCTTTACCTGAAAAAAACCACTGCGTTTGGATTTCGTCAGTAGCAGTAACTCTGCCTCTACTGCACTGTGTGTGTGTGTGTGTGTGTGTGTGTGTGAGAGAGAGAGAGAGAGAGAGAGAGAGAGAGAGAGAGAGAGAGAGAGAGAGAGAGAGAGAGAGAGAGAGAGAGTGCGCGCGCGTCCACTGTCTACACAGTGTAATGGGATTACTCCCGTGTCAGGCGCATGCAGGGCGATTTAAGGGTCATTCGCTTTCTGAACATCGCTGGCCAGACGAAGTGGACTCAAGGGGCACCATTAACTGCCCCTGACCACCAGCTGCACCAGCACGTCGCTTCTACTGAGTTTTGCTGGTATCGTGTACGTTGGAGCTTCGACCGTTGGACGTTGGCGCGTTTTGACAGTCAGGGGGCGCTCGAGCTCCTGAGCGAGAGAGGCAGGCAGACGCTCTCTCTCTCTCTCTCTCTCAGTCTCTCTCTCACGCGCTCTCTTCTCAGGCACTTTCACATCGTATGCAGTTGAGGACTATTTCCATGGCTTTGCGACTAAAACGGTAAGACGTCCCAGCTGTATTGTGTTGTTATTTCTCGACTAAACTGAATCTATGGAGAGGGGAAAAGTTGAGGTGACGATACGAAGCAGTTCCAGTTTTGGAAACACTGGATTTTGAGCGTTGTCCCGTTGACAGGCTGACATCATTTCCCTTGCTGTTTTGAGGCACTGCTTCTTTTCATTTTTTTGCCTTTCCTTTTCATTTAGCTACCAGAGCTATGTGTAAGTGTGCGCTACCTTCAGAACTGGTGGCTCCGTGTGTAGCCTCGGTAAACGGATTTCAGCTCTTTTCAACCTGTCGCTGTACGACAACGGCCAGAATTGCAGTTTAGATATAGCTAGAACTATTTCTTTAAACAGCACCCTTTTCTTTTCTGCGTAGCCCCGTTTTGTAAAGCTCGTCCAGGTAGAGCAGATTATGGAGCACTTCATCCAATTACCCCGCACATTCCCAGCAATCTGTTGCCCTCGTCAGTTTAACAGCTTTCAAACGAAAGTGCGTCCAGAGAGTGAAATCGACTACAAATGTTTCGCTGAGGTTCATTACAGTGGCCAATGCAAAAGGATAGCTAGACCGTTAGTTTAAGGTCACGTACAGACTGGATAGGGAGATTAAAGTAAATGCTTTCTTTAATCGTATCGTCAAGACAAACGTGATACTACCTACTTGTACTTAGACGTGGAAGAAGATCTCTGTCTGTATTATTTTTGCAAGATATGCTCTTCCAAGGCTTGGAATACCTTCATTTCAGCGTTGTAAAAGGCATATGTTTGGGTTGGAAGAGATATACTTCAGACGAGGTGATGTCAGCACTTTTTTGAGGAAAAAGTCACCCTTTTTTTGATATTAGTTTAGATTATCTATACAGTATTTATTGCTTGTGTACAAACTAGATTGGTTTAATAGCATTTACATAGTTTAGAGCACTGGCTCCCAAAGTCAGGGCTGGGGACCCCATAACCTACTTCGCACATTTTTGTGTTTTCTCTATGAACCCGACGCATGAGGGGAGCTTGTTAACTACTGAGTTGAACCAGGTGTGCTAAATGAGGGGAAAGCATACAGATGGGAAGAGTTTGGGGTCCCCACGACGGGGACTGGATAGCCCTGGCTTAAAATCTTAAAACATGAATTGAATCTGTGAAGTGTGAGGGGAGCTACCTTTTGGCCCGTAGTTGAACTACTTCTCCAGAGACGAGTTGGGCTAACTGGGAACCTTTTGAAAAATAAGGGTTTTTCCCCATGCAAGAAGCTACCTAGGCGATTCTAAATGAATGTAATTACCCCCTCCCCCAAACCATGCTGGGGCTGTTCTCTATATAGATAACCTTCTTTATTAAATCACCTGTGGGCCACCCTCCTCCCCTCTCGCTCATTAATTATTGACTCACACCACCTGGTCCTTAAGTCCTGTGACTCTGCTGCTGGTGCTTGTAAGTGTCTACAAGTCAGGTGATCAGTCAGTGAGTCAAGCAGGGTCATTGGTGAAGGAGCATGTAGAAGCTGCTGTTCAAGCTTTTCACATTTTATTTGGAAATTATGATGGTTTCCCTGGTCTCAGCACGCTTGACTGAACTAATCTGCTCATTCCCGAGCTCTTCCTGAGGTGAATTACAGGCGTTGGAGAAGAGTGAATGCTGAGATGTGTAAGGAAAGGAGATTCTGGTAATATGGTAAAGGGCTGTTTCACAAAGCAAAATTTCTCATTTTAGCTGGTTAACTTGAGGGGGAATTCCTCTGATTTTTCAAAATGTCTGCACAGTTCAATCGCTTTTTGTGCCAGTCATTCAGAGTGTTGAAGTGGCTCAGTGTGGAGAAAATTACTAACTCGGAAGCAGGTATCATAATGTGTATAACGCAAATATAGTATGTATTACTGCTCCTCCTACAGCTTTGGAGCTAGAACCACAAAACCTTGTAGAATAGGTTGCCTGTGCTTTATTTTACCAATTTAATTAATGGTGGTCATACAGCACTCATTCAAATAAGTTTTTCTTTTCCACTGGGGAGATTTTCAACATCCTGACACCACCAGGGACACCATAGCAATGGCCCTAGCAACATGTTTTGCAACCACCTAACAACTACCAAGTAACTTAAGTACAAGCTGGAATACCATAGCAACATAATAGCCATAGCAACTACCTGGAATTATTATGTAAACCCAATTAAGTTATCACGAACAGGTAACAGTGTTTTGTAACTACTTTAACTTTTAAAGCGTTGTTAGCTGGCTTTCTCAAGCCAATTGAACCTTCTCTAGTTTTTTTTACTATCTAAAATGACCAGTGAACCTACATACATGAGTTTTTAAATGTGATGTTGATAATGATAAAACAGTGGTAAACGATAAGGTGGAAAAAAAAATCTTTACGGTACTGCCATACAACTGCATGTATCTCTTTGCTATGAATTAATAAAAAAAATACATAAATACATTTTAGCCCAAAATCTTATCCCAGAGATATCATAACACAATGTCTCAGGCATCAGGCAGCATATTTGTAACCACTTCTTGCAATAGCTTTGTGAGAGATAGCTTTCAGAGGCATGAACATGGTTCAGGTGTCTTGTTCCTATGACCACCACCATGTACAGTTTTTCTACAGTGCACCATTTCACATCAAACCACTCTGAATGTCTTTCTTTACATCTTAATGATTGCATTATACAGATGTTCAGCATTGCACTGGACTTCCCTTTTTAAATTCTGCTATCTGGCTAACTGAGAAATCCAGGTCGGTATTTTACAAAACAGGTCAGTAAATGTTGCAATTGAAGCTATTTTCCAATATCAGAATAATATACTGTAGATGCTGGCACATATTTGCTTTAAAAAACAGTCAGACAGATATTTAGATTTGATCGATCTTTTAAACCTATATTTGTTAACGTATTTATTGTACTCAAGAAGAGCAGGGTGCTTAGGCAAAGCTGGGCCACTGTGCCTAAATATCTGCATTATATTTACTGCATTTTTTAAATTAATTTCTTTCATACCTTCAACCTGTCTTCAGACATTACTGATGTAGCTTATACGGTATTACCTGGATTGGGGGACATCGTAAGTGATGCAAAAGCATTTGTGTTGCTTTCATAGTGTCTTGTCCTGTGTTTTTTCAAAATTGAAAAAAATCAAAAATTGTTGTTCGCTTACACAGTCACTACATGAGTACAGAGTGTGATTTTTGAGCCATCATCCAATAAATATCAAACCATCTACCTGACATTTAATAAACATGAAACAGTGCTGCTGACAGGAGGGAGGTGCTGGTTAGTGTTAGCTTAGCTAACATGATAACTCTGCTCACAACAGAACATGTTTGATTCTGGTTAACTAAGGCATTAACAAATTAAGTTTAGATGTAAATGATTTGAATCTGAGGGAGTGAACTTGTTGAAAAGACAGGAAGGTGATATTAAACCTGTTCTGTGGCGTTTGGATTTGTAGACTGATCGGTTAACTTATCACAGGCTTGGTTTTTGGTTTGGCATCATTTTTAAATACTAGTGTAACTTGCTACTGTTACACCGCCCAACCCTTAGCTGAAAAGTGTTAAAGTTAAAGACCTTACTGAATGCAAATGCAGCAAATCCCTCAAGAGATCCACAACAACTGAAGGATGTTCTAACAAGTGCAGGATGCCACACAGTTAATTAAGTAAAATTCAGGGATGATTTAAAAACCCACTGAGCTCTCCATTGGGAAATGTGCGAAAAAGAAAAGTCCAACCATTGTGCATCGTCTGTGGACAACAATGGAAAATATGGGGGAAGCAGTTCCTTTAGATCATTTTAACTTTAAACCTTGGGAAAGTATGACAAAGCAGTGTGAGGGTGTTTTCAAGCTCAGATGTTTGCCAAAAAGCTGATAAACAGTATGAGCTGCTACTGTGCCTTTATTTGTGTTGCATTAGTGAGCATTACAAAAGCAACCTTTGAGCAATTCTGATTGAAAGTGTAATGTTCATCTGCATTTTGTAGTTCATCTAGTCTTGAAGACAACCTCAACTTGCTTTGTCAAACTTTCTTAATGTATTTTTTTTAAATGACTTTAAAGAACTGCTTCCCACACATTATTCACTGCTGCCCATATAACTATCCACAGTGGTTGGATTTTTCCTCTCCACACAGTTCCCAGCATAGCCCCACAAAATCTCAGTCGGCTCAAAATCGTATCTGAATTTCACCTAAATGAACTGTGAATATTTTTTGTGTTTTAAGTGAACAGACAGGATAAGTACATCAAAAACAGATGCTAAACATACATGCATGTAAGCAGTTGTTCTTGATTGCCAGTGTACAACTGTAAAGCATTCGTCTTTGGGTTCAATTAGTGGAAAACAGACCTTAAAGTAAAATATTTGAATCTAATTGACCACAGTTTGTTACTTCCATTGTTTACTTCTGTCTCCTTACAATATACAATACTTTTGATAACGTTTAGTCCAAATTATGGCTCTCCAGATTGAAAAATCACCCTTTTAAACCATTTCTGAAAGAGTGCATGAGTACAGAGATATATACTCACCACCAAAAGGCTGGAAAATATCAAGATGTACAGCATTGTGAAAAAGTCAGGCACTAACTATTTCATTTCAATGACCATTAAGTACAAGTTATTAATTTTTCAGCATTATATTTTACAAAAAATTATACAGAAGCCTCTCCAACTACGCATCATGTCAATGTTTTCAACATTTAGTGTGTCCATGCTATGCGTTTATAACTTAAGTTCTTTTCCAGGGACTTGCTTTCAAATTTCCAGAGAAATCTACAGGGATATTTTCCCAAGTTCAGTCTTAGAAGTTGGTTGCATTTTCTCCTGCTCACAATCCAAGAAATCTAAAACACCTTCAATGAAATTGAGGTCTGGGCTCTGTAGTGGCCAGTCCATTGTTCTGAGAGCACCAGCACGGGTTATTGACAGCTACACATTCTTTTAGAGCAGAGCTGGGGAACTCTGGTCCTGAGAATCCCATCATGCAGTTCAGCCGGTG